CCATACAGAACCACAGACAAAATTAATGGTTTTGTATATTCTAATTTTTATGTTTTTGGACGGCAGACGAGAAGACAAAAGGTTCTGGACTGAATGGTAGCAAGCATTACCGAGTTCAATAGCAAAATACTTCCCCAATCCAAACGTCTACCATCTTCTCTTGCCTGTCTAACAGTTCAAACGAGCTCAAGTTGCTAATCGCCCATCATTAACTGTGACATGAACTAGCAGGGCGAGGTAAAAACTAAAACATCACATATCCAATGTGCGGAGGGCAACCTCTTTCTTCCTCTGTCCACTTACCTGGTCTGCGTCAATGGAACATACTGGTTCAACGTTATCTATCATGAGAAAACTGCCAGCTGTGCGTGGCAGAGTAAGCGTCACAGAAGCCATGTTTGTTATCCCTGTGTAACCTTTCTAACCGAACTCCACAGAACACAGAGAATTCTGTCCTGCAGCCGAGTGTTCCGCGCTCACTCTCTCTCTCTTTCTCTGACTCTCATGTTTTCTTTCTTGTCCCGCACATTCACATTATGTTCTATCTCTTTCCGTGTCCCGAGTACACCACGCGAAGCCGGGGCTCAGGCCATACCAATGCTGATGATGTCTTGCAATGATTAATTGTTGCATCAGGAGAACTATAGAGCAGAGCGTATCCCAGCGAACATTGGCATAGCCATTCCCAGCAAAACATAACCTAACTCTCCTGTACTGGAATACTCGTAGGCAAATACAATCTACTGCTGCTAGACTCCCCTCCGTGGCTTCAAATAGACAATTCCCTCTCCGCCCCAAGACTTTAAAACCCGCAGCCATTGTAAGAAACTTCCCAGGAACAGTATATATCGATTTAGTAACAAATGAATGTGTCTATTATTTACGCGTGTAGGCATAGTTCCTTGAATCATTCACAGATGGCAATACGAGTCGAGAATGCAGATTATTCTCACAGTTAATATCTTCAACTGTTCATAAAACATCGAGGTAAGGTTGTGTGAGAATTCCAGATTCCTACTGGGGAGGTCCAATTAGCACAGATCTTCTCGCTCAGCCACTAAATAAATTTCCAGCATTTTATGGAACCCGAAAGTTCATTACTGTGTTAACAAGATCCCAGGTCTCTGTCCTGAGCCAAGTGAATCCAGTACACGCTCTTCGGTCCTATTTAACGTCCACTTTAATACCATTTATGCCTAGGTTATCTAAATGGTATTTCGCCTTAGGGGTTTCATATGAAAACTTTGTATGCATTTCTCTTCCTTTCCATGCGCGCTACAAATCCCGCCCATCCCCCCTAACTTAATCACTCTGACAGAATTTAGCGGACATAAATTATGAATCCTATTATTTCCAGTGCACGCGGCACTATCCTACAAACCGGAAAGTAGCGGGTTCGTTTCCTAATGAGGACATCGGATTTTTCAATTGACGTAATCCTTCCAGACACGCTACCACCTTGGGGTCGACTCAGCCTCTAACAGAAATGAGTACCAGATATCTTTCTACGGATGAAGGGCGGCCGGTGCGTAAGGCTGACAACCTCACTGACATCTGTGAGACGATTAGTAAATGTGGGAGCCTCGACGTCTCACAATCCTATGGGCCTTCACGGCCTGTTACAGGGATAGCTTTACCTTTTTTTTTCTTTACATATAAAAGTGCACCAGACAGTTTAAATAACGCCATTCGGTACATATGCACTAAGGCAGCTGTTTTGACTGCATTGTTTTCTCTTTTTGCGGCTAAACACCATGCATAATACCAGCACTGAAACGTAGGGTTGGATTTCTGGGGTAATTACATTTCAAATGTGTGTCAGAACAAATAAAAACTTTATAATAACAATCTCGAATATTATATCACGATGGGAAGTTACATGCGAATAGTGGTTTATTCCGCAATTAGTTTCCTGGCACTTTTTGCACCGCTATGCGTGATAATGGTCAAATTCATGACAGGATTAAACTTAAATATTTATATCAATAACAGGCTGTCCAAGCATAGATTTCATATAATACGACTTTCTCCTCTATACGATTGTTTGTTAATAAAAGGCTAAGCGGGTTTGTGTACCTCGTATTTAGGTGTTCGGTTCGAATCCCTGCCGCCCGGAATACCGGTTTTCCTGAACGAGGTTTTTACGTGATACAGTTCTTCCAGGCAACTACCTCGGTTACGTCACGACTGGTTCCTTCCAAACCCCTTCCATTTCATCATACACTTAACGTCCTACAGGGCACCAGGTAGAGTAGTTGGTTCTCACGCTAAAAGCAAAATATCGCGGGTTCGATTCCCGAAATCATTAGATTTTTCAATTGACCTAATCCTTCCAGTCGCACTATGGCCCTGGGGTCGACTCAGTCTCTAACAGAAATGACTACCAGGAATCTTCTTGGGGGTAAAGGTGCGGCCGGGCCGTAAGGCTAATCTCACCGCCATCTGTTAGCCGACTGTCTAGAAAATCTGGCAGCCTCGACGTCTCACAGCCCTATGGGCGAACTGCTTTTAGAATGCAGATGTGTACGTAAATATGTAAAGGCAGCAGCCGTGTGGGTGTACACTACACGTTGCAGGACAGTGAGCATGTTTCGTGTTGTGTATGCTGCATACTGCCCAGTTGTGTGTGGGGGTGAGGGGGCATGCATATTTCAGACGGGCAACTTGTCGGACATCAGAAAAGCTCGTTTCTCCGACGACTCGAACCCGCTACAGCCCTACCTATCCCGAATTTATTCTGCCGGGCAAAATGATACAATTTGGGGGGGGGGGGAACGAGAAAACTAAGGGTTAAGCTCTTTAAAAATGGAACCCGTCACATGTGGGAGTCGGTATAGCGACTGGCTATGGGCTGGACAACCGAGGGGTTGGAGTTCGAGTCCTGATAGGGATAAGAATTTTATCTCCTCCACAGCGTCCAGACCGGTTCTGGGGCTCACCCAGCCTCCTACCCATTGGGTATCGTGGGTTCATTCCCCGGGGGTAAAGCTGATCACCCACCTCTAACTAGTGCCGAGGCCATGAAAACGTGGATCTATATAACTACTTCCCCATACGCCTTCATGGTGTAGTGAATAATTAGTTAAGCAAAGGGACAAATTTATCTTTTTAATTCTACCCGCCACCTGTCCCTTTCAGTTTAAGAGGAAATGGTTATTTTCGACACAAAGCCTCAATAATTCAAAGTGACAACGGCGTCGCGGCGCTAAACGTAACTTCCTGTTTTGTGACATATTTAACGACACTGTAATCAGCTCAGGTATATAGTGCTGCATGACTGGCTGACTGTGTATAACTGAAAAGGGGGTAAAAGGAAGAGAGCGTAGCCTGATGTAAGGTACTACTCAGGCACATCCTTGGAGGAACTAGGGAAATGGCAGTCGATGTGCCGAAAGATTCAAAATGGCATCAAGTTAGAAGCATTACCGACTGAGTCAACGTGTTCGGACTGGACAAACAGAACTATTACGGTGTGTATGGTAGGCAAAATTAACAATGAACAGGCTAGTGTAGCGGTAATGGTGTAGACTTGTATCCAGGAGCTGCTCGGTTCGATTTTCGGCCAGAACATCGGCTACAATGACTGGAATATTTTAAGTACACTCGGTCATCGACTTACGACCGGCCGCACTCACGACCACAAAAAAAATGAAAAATAAAAGATGATTAAAATGTAAAAGTTTTTAAAAATAAATTATAAAGATCATGAAAAGATTAGAAAGGTTAAAAAATTCTGTTAATAAATATATGGCCCACATACGACCAGATCGACTTACGACCTGCCAGTCAGAACAGAAGTCGGTCGCAAGTCGACGACCAAGTGTATATCGCCATGGATCACCAAGACAAATTACGCCCACAACTGATTCCTTTCTAATATTCTAATAATTCATCGTTTATCTATAATCCTGCAATCCGACACTATATTTTTTTTTCATTGGCTCTTCCAGCCCATTTAGGGCCCTGGCCTCTTGTTCAGTTCAGTAATCACTTTACACAGACGGAAGGGCTCCCTCGACGAGTGATCAGCTCGTCGCAAAGCTGCTACCTGAATACAGACACAGAATAAACGCATACACGCACCAAACATCCATAGTTTCAGTGGGGTTCGAACCCATGAAAGCAGCGTCCGAGCTAGCGAAGACAGTTCATGTCTTAGACCCTTGGCACTACAGCCCCAGTGGGCCTAGGCCTACCTCCATGAACTCCGTTCACTTCGGTTTTTCTAGATCTTACACATTCGGTAGGACTCCTTGGGCGAGTGATCAGCTCGTCGCAAGGCCTCTACCTGTAGACAAACACAGAAAAACGCACATAAACATCCACGCCCTCAGTGGGATTCGAACCCACGATCCCGGTTTCCAAGCGAGCGAAGACAGTACGTGCCTTAGACCGCTCGGCTACCGTGACCGGCAGTGTATAAGAATAATACATAAGAATTCAGTCCCTACCTCACAGGAAACAGATCCGAACCCACGATCCAGGCTTCCGAGCGAGCGAAGACAGTGCATGCCTTAGACCGCTCGGCTACCGTGACCGGCCCGACTTTATATAGTCCAGATAAATAAGTAAAGTTGTCCCTGCGCTTAACTAATTAAGCACTACACCATTATGGAGGAGTGGATGTATACATCCACATTTTCTTGACCTCGGCAGAAGCTGAAGGTGAGTGCTTAGTTTCACGCACCTGTCGCTTTACCCCCGAGAAAAGAGGCCACGGTACCCCCTGGATAGGAGGTTGGGTGGATCCCAGAGCAGGCCTGGACAACATGGAGAAAATTGTTGACCCTACCGGGACTCGGAACTAAGGCCCCTCGGACGGGATCCCCGTCCAGCTAAATACGGAATGCAAATGAGCGTGACGCCATGCAGACTGGTAGATCATTATCAGTGACGAAACATCCGCCAGAGATGTTTCAGGAAGAATTTTAGTAAGAGATAAGTTAATTTGGAAACACAATCCGGCCTGTTTACAGCATCATTTCACTTGCAGAACTTACGGTTAGGGCCTGTGCATGTCGCGAACCACCGCTCTTGTCTGCTTCCGTGTCGTTACCTGAAACAAACAGATCAATGAATTTAGGTTCACATGACCTGTCGTAAAGCACAATTAAAACTTGTCAGGAGGGAGTGCAGGAGACATGGAAGTAAAAATCCACGCATTTCAAATGTCGGTAATTATTGCAGATGAGTTCCATGCCTCGAGTTCCAGCCATGGCGCCCGACAGGATTTTATTTTTTTCGTGTGCGGTGATAGGGGGGAGGCAAAAAATCTGATTTATAAACTTATTTTTAAACCGCTTTTAGTGAATGCCCTAGTGTATTCGGGACAGAAACATAAATTTAAAATAAAATAATAATTTTAGCACGAATATTTGATGCATCATTTTTTTTTCAAATCTGACCTTTTAAAAATTGGGGTAGGGGACAGATGCCTGACTTGTCCCGCACCCCAATGGCGCCCAAGACTCCAGTCACTTCAAAGAAAGAGCCCACATTATACGATCGATAAGACAGCTCGCGTGGTGTACCGATGGAGATGTCGAAGACACAAAAATGATTCTATGCCCAACATGAAATGTGGTGAATTTTCCCCTCCATGGTTACTTACTCATGGAGCTGAGCCCTTCTTGAGGTGCCGCCAATTCTGCAGCTACTCAAGAACTTCCCTGTATTTTATGAAACCCGAAGGTTCATTACAGTTTTCACAAGAGCCCTCCACTGGTCCCTATCTTGAGCCAGATCAATCAAATCCATACCAACCTATCCTATCTCTCTAAGATCCATTTTAATATTGTCCACCCACCTACGTCTTGGTTTTCCCAGTGGTTTCATTCCTTCTGGCTATCCCACCAATATCCTATACGCATTCCTCTTCTACCCAACTCGTTCTACATGTCCTGCCCACCTCATCCTCCTTGACTTGATCATTCTAATTACACTTGGAGAAGAGTACAAGTTATGAAGCTCCTCACTATGCAGTTCCCTCCAAGGTTACAGGTACAACGGATGGGTTTACATATCTGTGTCGGTCTCGCAGCCATTTTTACTAGAAATGCAAATGAGGGTCACAGCGGAGGAAGAGGCCGGTTAAACCATGGGCACTATCTTACCTTCCTACTCTGCCCTTTCGAAACCTACGTTTGCCGGCTGGCACCAGTTTTCACACTATCTGGGAATGTGACGCCGTGTAGTCCGGTAGATTACCCACATCTTCAGGGTTGACGACTAAATCAAGGAGACAGTATACTGAGAAACGGTTCGTTACGTGAAATGTATATGGCGATAATTAACGAGCTATTTGTCCTCGGCGTGCGAAATTTAGTAAACAATACACCGTAAAAACAAAAAATAAACTCCGTGATCTGTAGTCCGCAAAAGAACTATAACAAACGAGCTATCGCCGCTTGTCCGCGATGTTAGTGCCAACTTTTGCGGATAGAGGGTGTCACTTGGTCAGCGCAACGGATCCCCACGGCCGCTAATTTCGGTTTTCTAGACCGGAGCCGCTATTTCCTTGAAATGTAGCTCTTCAGTTATCCTCACGAGGTTGAGTGGGGCCCGTTCCAGACCCACTACTTCTCAGAAATTCTTGTAGCGACGGGAATCGGACCGGGGACCTCTGGATATGTAGCCAGGAACTAGACCACAGAGGCAGTCTACCGTAACACACGCATGCTCTATACATGAAACACTGTTCATAAGTCAACAATTACAAACATGGCGGCGGCGCGAAATGTTAAGCTTAAAATGTAAACGTAAAGTTATTTAATAACGCACCATGCCAAGAAATCGTGTAGGGGCGTGGAGGTAACAGCTCCATTATTCTTGACCTCGGTACTAGATGTTATCAGCTCCACGATCCAGCCTCCTTAACCTTGAGGAATGACAGGAGGCTGGATGGGCCCCAGAGCCGGTCAGAACCCAATGGAAACGAGAAACATCCCTTGCTCCTACCGGGAATCGAATCCCGATCATCCAGCCCGTATGCAGAACTCTCTTTACGATTAAGTACGTGCGCGACCTTCGTAAAACCCTTTTGGACTTTCAGAATACGGTACAGATTGGTTCGTGGGAGAGAATACAGCATTTAAGGATTAAAATAGTCATGTGATACTTTCTCATATTAATAAATTCTGACATGAAAGCTGTCAAAATTAAATGGACTCGCAGCCAACACGCTCGATGCATAAAGCGAGTCGGGCCCGGTCTCAAGTCAGTTAACAAGAATAACTAGAAATAATTCAACAAAAATAAAAAAAAAGAAAACAGTATAAAAGTAAACACCCCAACGGACACAAAGAAAACCACCACTAGATACAATTACAGCAGAGCTTATTTTTTAACATTACTTGTGCCTCAGAAAACGAAATTTCTTTCGACAGTTATACAGAGCTTATTTTCGAAATTCTAGTGGCCACAAAGCAGAAAGATTTAGCAGCAATATTTGTGTCCAATGGGACACCAATCTGACAACATAATTCAACTGACTCACAAACGGTCAGCCGTCAGTCTGTCTTGGTGTCAAGCCCCACCTGGAGCCCAAGACTTAAATTTTTAATCTTCTCAGACAGTTGAGGGTTTGTCGATGTGGAGCGTCCTCTCTGACGGGGGAATGGGTCTGTTTACAACTGCTACTGGTCCTCGCCGGCGCATCCATTCTCGGGTCTGAATCCCGCGGGACCCATGACCTCATTTTACTGTCTCAGATTCGAGACCCCCCCAACCTGGAGGGCCAGGTCCCCGTATTTATATCCCCCAGGAAAAGGGTAGCCCGGTTATACCCCCAGGCACTGGGTTCCCTTTTCGTCGCCTCCTACGACTGGCAGGGTTACGGTGGAGGTATTTCAATCCGCCTCCACGTGGGGAAGCTCTTGCGGTTTGTTCTTCTTTATAGCTTCGGCAACGGACAACACAGAAAACACCGCTTTCATAGTCTCTGTTGTTGCGTGGCTATTTGTCACCGCGGAAACGTGTTTACGGCTTGCAATGGATGTGGTTTTTAGGGTCTGCTATTTCACTTGTCATCCCTCATGATATAATACTTATCAATTCTACATCGATGATTCTGAAAGTGGGTGTGATGACATTTTATGAAACAAACAAAAATAATTATCACCCACTCACTCACTCATGGAGGTGAGCCCTTCTTGAGAAGCCGCCAGTTATGCAACCACTCAAGAATGCCCTAACATTTTATGGAACCCGAAGGTTCATACCGTGTTCACAAGAACCCTCCACTGGTCCTTATCCTGAGCCAGATAAATCCAATCCATATCATCCCATCCTCTCTCTCTAAGATCCATTCTAATATTGTCCACCCACCTACGTCTTGGTCTTCCCAGTGGTCTCTTTCCTTCTGACTTTCCCACCAATATCCTATATGCATTCCTCGCCTCCCCCATTCATGCTACACGCCCTGCCCACCTCATCCTCCTTGACTTGATCATTCTAATTATACTTGGAGAAGAGTACAAGTTATGAAGCTCCTCATTATTCAGTTTTCTCCAACCTCCTGTCACTTCATCTCTCTTCGGTCAAGTATTCTTCTCAACACCCTGTTCTCAAACACCCGAAAAATAATTATTCCCAGCATGAATTCCTCTCGGAAATTCAGCAGAAAGCCTATTTCCATTTGTTACCATTCCTACACGTTTAAATTCTGGAATACTAGCAAATTGCTTATTACATCCAGTTGTTACGACTGCTGCGTCATTCATGCTTCGTAATAAGGGGCTTAAAGCCATTATGGGAACGCATAAGCTGACGAAAGACCTTCATACCAATCATACGTCATTATTTCTGACTTAAAACCCACGCACAGGACTTCTAACTTTCATGCCGTAAGGACTAGACTTAAGCCTTCAGATCCACTATAGCACGAAAGTTACTATAAGAATCCTCTGCATTACTAGTGAAGCCCGTGTTTTGCCCACGCAGTAGTTACGACTCATATGATTCTCAGAAGAAAAAAGAAAACAGCGACCATCTCCTTATACAGGATTATGACGCATGAAATTAATATTTAAATAATGTCACCGGCTGGTGACTAGACATAGGGGCTGAAGAGATAATTGGAATTACTGGAGTAAGTCACATCTCCAGGTAACTATATCCGTTTCACGGATCTACACAATGCAGCACACATAAGTCCTGGCTTCACTGGTCGTTGCTTGGTAACTACTCCCAACAATGGAGATTCTTCCGCTTCCCGTACTCACGTCCCTGCTGGATGACGACTGGCTCACAACGGTAATTCCTAGCCATTCCTACATTTTCTCGATGGCCCTTGCCAGAATAAATAAATTTTCTACCGAACATGTTCTTAACTGAATTACTGGGGTTTTGGACTTTTTCCATCGTCCGGAATTATAGGTAATGAAGGACACGACGTTTCGGAAACCAGATCTATGCCCTCTTATTACCTAATATTACGGACGATGGCAAAAGTCCAAAACCCCAGTAATTCTGTGTGTCATCCGCCATCGTCAGAACCCTTTAGAATCTACATGTTTTTAACTTCATCTTACATTTACCGACGAACAAAAAACAAAAGATACTTAAGGAATTATAGCCTAATATTAACGGATAAGTGGTGTGACGTCCGCTGAGAACTGAAAGGGGAATCCCACCATTCGTTATATAAGTTTTCGTACTAGAAACTTGCCCTGCTTAATCCCGTATTACTTTCCAGTCCTGCGTGTTATAATATGACTTGCTGAGGCAGACGAAAAGGCCATCTACAACGAATAACACTCATAAATAATCTAGACCACACCATCCCCTTTACGCAGTAAATTACATTTTCAAAATATGATCAGTACTCACATACTAAGTACGATACGCCGTAAAAAAATAACCGCTCTCTACTTCGTAATCCACCATATCCACTTATGTTAATACAGCACGTCAGCACTCAGAAGTTCGTCGCTAAAAATGTAAAAGTAAAGATATCCCTGTAACAGGCCCTGAAGGCCCATAGGGCTGTGAGAGGTCGAGGCATCCCACATTTTCTAGATAATCGGCTCACAGATGGCGGTGAGGTTGTCAGCCTTA